CATTCTCTCACTAAGATGACTGCCAGCTGCAAAGCTCTCAACACTCTCCCACTAAGATCACTGCCAGCTGCAAAGCTCTCCCACTAAGATCACTGCCAGCTGCAAAGCTCTCCCACTAAGATCACTGCCAGCTGCAAAGCTCTCCCACTAAGATCACTGCCAGCTGCAAAGCTCTCCCACTAAGATCACTGCCAGCTGCAAAGCTCTCCCACTAAGATCACTGCCAGCTGCAAAGCTCTCCCACTAAGATCACTGCCAGCTGCAAAGCTCTCCCACTAAGATCACTGCCAGCTGCAAAGCTCTTAACATTCTCCCACTAAGATCACTTCCTGCTGCAAAGCTCTCAACATTCTCGCTCACTCTGGACGTACACTCTGATAGACTGCCATCCATCCATATTCTGATGACATCTTCCCACATGTATTGGTGTCTACCTCTCGCTCACAGACTGGCACAGCTTTTACAAGTAATGATGTATTGTTTAATCCTGTATTACAGCTATCTAGTGCTATCTCTAATGTATTCTCCTATTATCTGAAGATCTTCTTTAACATTTCTGTAATAATTCAATATCTAATAATTTATATGAATTTCAGTGTGATGATCATTAGCAGTTTGATGACTGTTACTCATTTCTGTAAGGATTCTTCCCACTCAGCAATTCACATTCACTAATGTCTGTACATTCTGTGGCTGTCATCGGTTTCTTCCAACAAGTATACCAGTCTTAACTGTGTTCAGACTGAGTGACATAGCATCCACAACTGACAATGACTATTTACAATGTTATAGAGTTATTTTGACAATTTTTATGTAAATAAGACACTGCTGCCGCAGAGATACCAATGGTCTTCAATAACTGTTTGTTCCATGTTTATTTAAAGCAGAAGTTTATTGCAGGTGGCAAATGTATCATCCGGAAATGGCAATGTATGAAGCAGGAATGCAGGCTGCAGGAGTATTTGTTTCCACACATGATGAATGTAGTTATAAAATAAACCAATATAAAACCTTGTTACAAAATCTCTACAGTTTGATTTCGGCTGCTCAGTTTAGTCTGCTGCAAACTCGGACCAATCAGTTTTGTGTTTACATTTGTGTGTGTTCTTGCTCACAGTCAGACGACATACAGATAATACACTTGTATTTATTAATGAAGATTAACTGTCATGACTGCCTCTGTGTACTACTTTCTAGGGCAGAGTCAGGACAAAGGGAAGTCTTGAGAAACAGCCAGCAGTGGCTTAGGATGCTGGGTTCTCATTCCAGAGAGGTTCTTTTTTATTTTGACGCTGTCACAGGCAAAACATAAATATCCGAATCTGGACAGTTTGTGACAACCGCACCAGGCATGCTGCTCTAAATTCTCAGGTTAAAGACCCCACACAACCATGCTCCTCACCCCCATCCTAAAGGGCCCTAAAAAGTGGTACAAAATGTCTTTGACACAGTGATGATTAAACAAATGATAGGCTTGCAGTGACAGTTGTTAGAAGTGATTAAAATAAAATGACTCTATAATGCAGACTATTGATACAAGATATTCACTGTGTAGCCCCCAGACACAGTTCTATCGCTAGAACTGATGATAATTAAAGCAAATTTATGAAATCACAACTTGATAATTTGATTATTGTTCTAAAAATAGATATATAAAGACAATATCAAGCTACACAAAGAAAATTCCTAATGCAAAAAAAAATGAACAAACAGTATCTTAACATGTCAGGAAATGTAAACTCTTTCTTACATTACAAGAACATGTAACATAATGGTCTTTTCTTGTCAAAGGTTCAGGATGGGGGGGGGGGGGGGGGGGGGGGGGTGTGGGGTGGGGGGAGAAGGAAAGGGGGGGGGGGTGCAAACAAGGATAAAAGGCAAATGAGCAGTACAACAAAAAGTTAAGAGGTGGATGAAGTGTGTATGTGTGTGTGTATATATAAATATATATATATATATTTAGGGAGAGGGAGACAGAGAGAGAAAGAAAGAGATATCAATAAAAGGGAGAAGATGAGAAAAAAGACAGAAAGGTTAAGAGGCACAGTGAAATCACAAAGAAGAAGCAAAAAGAGAGCTATGCAGTAGTTTCTAACAATAAAATAATATAAGAAACCAGGAACACAAATTCTTGTCTGTTTTACACTCAACATGTTGCTCCAAATACATTTCACATAATCAGTTATGCAACATAATCAGGATTAAATAAGCAGCGATATTTCACAATGATAGTATAACAACAGCTGTAGTGTATTTAACAAAATAAATAAACTGAAAAAAGATAAAAATAATTAGAAGGAAAGAATCCGTTTCCACAGCCTAAGGCAAGGCTATTCATCTGGTGGCCCACCAAATAGTTTCTGTATCCCTAGGCTGGAGTTTGGGTGTCTGGCCTGTGAAAATCCCCATTTTCAACATTTCGGCCACCAAGTAAACTTAGTTCAACAGCCTTGCTATAAGGTCTTTGATGCTAGCGACGCCCCCCCCCCTTTTTTTTTTTAATGGAACAATAAACATTTTATGGGTGATGTAGTTAATATCAATGAGGCTGCCTTCACTTCTATTTTCTGTTCTCCATTAGCTGCTTTGTGCCGCTAGGTGTCACAAAATAACAGATGGTCAATGTCTGAGCACGTTCGCAACAGACACTTTGTAGTTAGTATTGACACATATTTTTCAGGACATTGTGGTGAGTACATTGTTTACAGGGAAGGGGGGGGGGGGGGGCAGGTTACTGGAATAAATAAGGAAGTAGAGAACAGTCACCTGTAAGATATGAATAAAGAGAGTTACATACAACTGGCGACCTCATTCTGTAGAACAGTCTTCTTCAACCAGCTGGCCAAAGAAAAGTCCAGCTGGGTCACCTTGGAAAGTTGGATAGGAAGTGTTTCTATTCCAGGATTGCAGACTGTAGGATTCACACTTTAAGCATGAAAATAAACAGGTAGAAATTATGGTAACCCTGTGAAACTGCACTGACAGTCTACCTCTGACCAGCAGCAGATGCTGCATTTGCTGAAAACTATAATCTCTTGACATCTATTTTAAAGCAAAATTATTGCTATCTACATTTGTGTTTGTGTCTGGCTAGCTGTTAGGTGGACCTCTGTTTCGGTAGGTCTCGGGTGTACAAAGATTAAACACTGCTGTAGAAAACAAGCTGCAAAAACAAATCATTCATAGATAAGTTACAAAAGCGTGTGATGTGTTAGCTCTCACAGTGTGTGTACACCAACAATGATGACTTTCACACCTAGTGTGCGCCAATCACTACGCCAAGCATTGTGACTAGCACAGAGTGTATCTACCAGCATGTGCGATTCTCATATTGTGTACATGCCACTGCAATGCTCAGTGGACCGCACCGCATGTACTTTAACCTCTGTGACCTTCACATTGCATGCATGCCAACCATTACCATTCTCTTGCTCTCTCAAACCTATCAACATATCCTTCCTCCAAGAACAGGTCAAATCAAGAATATAACAAACTCATTTTAGTTCATCGTGGCCACAAGACATTACAACTGAAAAGGAATTAAAATCTGCTTACAAAATAAACATTACATGAAAGCAAAGAAGAAAACTAGAATAAAATTATTAAAACAAAAAAACTGATTACAGAAATGAACTATAAACAAGTGTGTTATAAAGATTCAAAAGCCATCACCTATAATATTTACAAACTATACAGCTTGCCTTCGTGTTTTGTGTTTACAGATATTGCTCTTTTAACAAGTAGGGTTAACAAAATGTAGAAAGGTTTTTTGAGTAAACAATTTGAGTAATCACATAAATACATAAGCACATCCAAATAGAGAGATGAAAACAAGTGGGTGAAAAAAAAAAGAGTTTAAAGAAAGACAAGGAGGAGACAGAGACAAACAGACAGACTGGAAAATATGAGGGAGAAAGAATGATATATTTCGGAGATGGGAGGGAGAGATGGGGGGAAACAATGAGAAAGATGATGGAACGTGTCTTTCAGCTCCTTAACAGTTGGAGAGACAGAAAAAGAGAGAGCAGAGAACTGACTGTCACAAATTCTATGTGTTAGAAATCAGCAGAGATCAGCAGTATTTGCTGGGGCAGGCTGTCTGCGGGGCCTTCATGTTGATTCCAGATGAACCATGTACAAGTCTGGAAATCACCAGCAGTAGAAAAAAAAAAAACTAGACACTGTTTATATACTCCAACATAATTATTTGTGCAGTCTGGGAAAGCAATATTTGGTTTTATCTAAAGAAAACAAGTCAATATTCCATTGATTTGCTCACTGGCTGTTCATCTATTACAATGAACATCTGTATACAGTTATTTATTCATGGTTTGTTTACCTACTCTGAAAAGCAAGAGAAATACATTCATGGATACTGATTGCCACTCCGAGAGTACTAGGGAATAAATCAAGGTCTGGGGTCGTGCTGAAGTATCTAGGTAAGGCACTGTCATCATCAGGAGGCCGCAGGTTCAAATCTCAATGTCCGTAAGCTTACAATTTTCATTCTACTGTCAGTCTAGTGCAACTTTTTATCTTGACTGTTTTTTTGTTTGTTTTTAAATTATTGCTGGCTGACTATGAGTGCTAATCGGTAACTGAAATAATTCCTCTTGCTAATTTCAATGGTTCAATTTATTATTACTGGGTATGTCTTTTTGTTTTGTTTCAAACTACTATATTTGTGCACATTTGCCCTAAAAACAAGAACTAATCCCCCCCCCCCCCCCCCAATGATGAGAATCTTATAAAAGACTCAAATCTCTTTAACCATGATTAGAATAAGCAGTAGAGTACAACTGACTGTTTCCCACACAAATTATCAACATAAAACAACATCTATTAAGTAAATAACTATGTACATATCTGACAATAGCAAGCAATATGGTTTAAGTATGATAATAAATGCTACAATGCGGATATATGGACCTAGAGATACTATGGCAGTAAGTACAAAACATCTGTCTATGCTGTTAACACCAATGTCAAAGCGTCAGTGTTCAAGAGGGGCTGTGTCTGGTATTCAGCAGAGGTACAAGGCAAGATGGTGGGCCGGCCTCCCGCAGGAACTGGTGCTGCATCAGCTCAGCTGCCGTGGCACGCTGCGCATGGTCCCGCACCAGCATGCGGTCAAGGAAACCCTGTAGTCTTGGCGACACCTAAACAACAAGCACAAGACAAGTAGTTAGCAACACAAATATGGGACTTGGCATGACTACAGAATAAATGGGACTATGCATGGCTACTTTTAATGGAACTATAGATGGCCACTTCTAATGGGACTATGGATGGCCACTTCTAATGGGACTATGGATGGCCACTTCTAATGGGACTATGGGTGGCCACTTCTAATGGGACTATGGATGGCTACTTCTAATGGGACTATGGATGGCTACTTCTAATGGGACTATGGGTGGCTACTTCTAATGGGACTATGGATGGCTACTTCTAATGGGACTATGGATGGCTACTTCTAATGGGACTATGGATGGCTACTTCTAATGGGACTATGGATGGCTACTTCTAATGGGACTATGGATGGCTACTTCTAATGAGACTATGGATGGCTACTCCTAATGGGACTATGGATGGCTCCTTCTAATGGGACTATGGATGGCTACTTTTAATGTGACTAAGCATGGCTCCTTCTAATGGGACTATGGATGGCTACTTTTAATGGGACTAAGCATGGCTACTTACAATGGGAGTAAGCATGGCTACTTCTATTAGGGCTATGGATGGCTACTTCTAATTGGACTATGGATGGCTACTTAACAACAAGATTAGGCATGGCTACTTATAATGGCACCTGGCACAGCTAAACAGAATGGACTTGGCAGGTGTGGCAACATATAATTTTGTGTGACAATGTTGCTTACTTTTCACCCCCCCCCCCCCCCCCCCCCCCCCCCCCCCCCCCCCCCCCCCCCCCCCCCATACTGGACTTGGTATGGCTTGTAAAATACCATATCAAGCTAAAACGTCTCTCAATATTTTTGTTAGATACGTTTGTAAGACACTGTGATCAGAACAACTACAGAATTTTAAAAGTTCACTAGACGTGATAACAACTAGGGAATTATTAAAGTTTCCCAGAAGTGATAACAACAACTACAGGATCCAAAAAAAAAAAAAAGTTTAACTCTTCACTCTGTGATAATGTATTTCCTACTTTCTGGTACAGAACATTTTAGCAGCACTTTTTTTTTCTCTCCATTCTTGATGGCTTAAACTGTGTTACCTTGGATGCTTTAGCTAATGAAGAAATCAGTTCAGATCTATTATCTAATTTGTCCTCTGCATTACTACTTATGCTTCTGCATTGACTGCTTGTTCCTGTGGAACAAACATTCTCCACTCCACAGCCACATCTACTTATGTCTCCATCTGACTGCTTGTTCCTGTGGCTCCAATTCTCCACCCCATAACGATCTACTTATGCTTCTGCATTCCTGCTTGTTCCTGTGGCAATAATTCTTCACCCCATAACGATCTACTTATGCTTCTGCATTCATTGTTCCTGTGGCAATAATTCTCCACCCCATAACGATCTACTTATGCTTCTGCATTGACTGCTTGTTCCTGTGGCAATAATTCTCCACCCCATAACGATCTACTTATGCTTCTGCATTGACTGCTTGTTCCTGTGGCAATAATTCTCCACCCCATAACGATCTACTTATGCTTCTGCATTGACTGCTTGTTCCTGTGGCAATAATTCTCCACCCCATAACGATCTACTTATGCTTCTGCATTGACTGCTTGCTTACAAAAGGCCTTGACCAAATCTAGCTTGTCGTGCAGCCATTCACCAGCCAGCAGCGCCATACCTGCATTGCCACAAGAGAAGATCCAAAGGATGATAATAATATTTGGTGAAATAGTTGATCAATCAAGTGCCATCTTTGTAATAAAGGCCGGCTATAATGGGTCTACAGTAACCTCTGTGTTGTCTTCATGGTGCCCCCATGCAGGTTTCATCCCGTTCATCTCCTGACGATGTCTTATCTAACTGCAGAGGATGGACTAAGTCGTCACTAGTCAAGTCCAATCTTGAGTCACCAAGAATGCGTCCCAGTCAAGTCTTGCGTCCCAGTCACTCAAGTCACTCCATGTATCAATAGTCATTTGCAATGTCGTGCATGGGACAACACTTATGGTTTAAACTAGTTAGTTGTGGAAACAAAAACACAAAGAAACACCACACAAAAAAACATGCACACACACATAAAACAACAGTTCTTAGGTATCGATTTTTATGTAAATTGCTAAAATGAATGCATTAACTTGCATATTGAAGGCATTGGTATTTTAATAAATTTGCAGAAAACTGAAAGGCTGTCACATTATTTAATTTTTGGTAATTGCTCAAAAACCTCACAGTGGCTGGCCATTAAGAAAGAGTCGTACCAAGCGTCAAACCTACAAGCTGCAAGTCCAGTCACTGGACAAAACTCAGTTGAAAATTGAATCACTCTACAAAATCTCGAGTCACAAATCGTTAATTATGCGACTGAGGTAGACTCAAGTCCAGGTCACGTGACTCGAGTGCCGACCTATGACTAACTATAATGTTGTTGTCATGGTTCCCTCAGGCAGGTTTCATCCTGTCCATATCTTGATGCCTTATCTAATTATGATGTCTTCCTCTTTTATGCTTCCACTCTTCCTTCTGCCTTTCTAGTTCTCAGATAAAAGAGAGACAAACAGCAGCACACTTCTGGTAGTCCAAGGGCAGCACTGATACACCAAGCACCTAAAGAAGAATGTAAGCAACTGCCACAAGCACACACACACACACACAAAATGTTCTAGCAAACTGAAGTGTGAACTGGCTAACTCAGAGACCAGGATTTAATCCCCCGTTGCAAGACTGAAATCAACCCAATCTCATAAACTGCCTGCTACTGAACGCTCCAAAATAAAAGGGGCATTTAAAACTGACAAACCAAATCTTTTAATATAGAAATTAAACAACAAAACAAACTCCCACCTCTGGTCCATAAGGTAACCTTGAAATGACTTCAGGAGCCATCCAGTATGGAGTTCCCACCAGTGATTTTCTCTTTGGCAAGTCTGTTGTCACTTGTGCACAAAAGCCAAAGTCAGACAATTTCACCTGAAATGTGCAGAAATGACACTGTTGGTATGCCATAGACTAATATAAATAGTACAGGGGTTGTCACATATTTCTGTCACAGACATCACCAAAAGCCCTGTATCAATGGGTAACAGCACTGGCTCACTTTGCCTGTATCAACTGAAGCGAGGCATTTCATACAACCTGCTGAAACATGACTGCATGAAACAATGTATGGAAGATGTCAGAAATGCAGGATGTCAGATGGACCGGCATGTCCAATTCTTAGCCCTATCACCCCAAAAAATGTGTTGATTCTTTCCAAAATTCTACTCATTGAACTCAGTGTGTGGCATGCAATTCAGCACAGCTGACTTTAAAAAAATAACAAGACCACTCTCTAACCTTTTTTGTGTTCACCCGCGTAAACTCTGGTAGAAAGTTCTGGCTGTTCATCTGCTTCTCCGTAACATAACTTTTTTATAATCCTCAAACATCACACTAACTGTGTGTAATAACCAAAAAATATATCAGGTAAAACACTCAATAATATATATCTGCCACGTTGCGTAACAACTCCATAATATACAAGCTATAATGTGTAAAAGCTCAATAATATATCAGCAACATGTAACAACTCAGCGATACACCAGCTCAGTAATATACCAGATGTGTAAAAACACAGTAATATACCTGTTGTGACATCTCAATTACGTTATTGCAAAGCATAACAATTTAATGATCTGGTTGAAGAACCCAATTAACTACCTGCTGTGTAACAATATGAAGACATCCCTAAAGTGTGTAAGATCTGAATGCCCTAACTGCCGTGTGTTCAATTCAATCTACCTGGTGTGTGTAACAATTCAATGACCTACTCACTAACAAATCAATGACCTACTTGTTGTAACAAATCAATGACCTACTTGCTGTAACAATTCAGTGGCCTACCTGCTGTGTGTAACAATGTCTGTAAGTGCACCTCCCTCCATAAACTCCATCACTACCCATAATTCATCATTAACCAGATAGCTGTTGTACATCTCCACAATATTAGGATGATGATAGTCCCTCATGACGACCACCTGTGTGGAGAGAAGGGACACGTCAACAATACATGACAAACACTTGTGTAGACAGAACAGACAGATAAGTCAACAATACATGACAACCACTTGGGTAGACAGAACAAACAGATAAGTCAACAATACATGACAACCACTTGTGTGGAGAAAAGGGACGCGTCAACAATACATGACAACCACTAGTGTAGACAGAACAGACAGATAAGTCAACAATACATGACGACCACCTGTGTGGAGAGAAGGGACACGTCAACAATACATGACAACCACCTGTGTAGACAGAACAGAGAGATAAGTTAACAATACATGACAACCACTTGTGTAGACAGAACAGACAGATAAGTCAACAATACATGACAACCACCTGTGTGGAGAGAAGGGACACGTCAACAATACATGACAACCACTTGTGTAGACAGAACAGACAGATAAGTCAACAATACATGACAACCACTTGTGTAGACAGAACAGACAGATAAGTCAACAATACATGACGACCACCTGTGTAGACAGAACAGACAGATAAGTCAACAATACATGACAACCACCTGTGTAGACAGAACAGACAGATAAGTCAACAATACATGACAACCAACTGTGTAGACAGAACAGACAGATAAGTCAACAATACATGACAACAACTGTGTAGACAGAACAGACAGATAACCAACTGTGTAGGGACAGTCAACAATACAGACAGATAAGTCAACAATACATGACAACCACCTGTGTGGAGAGAAGGGACACGTAAGACACAACAATACATGACAACCACCTGTGTAGAGAGAAAAGACACATCAACAATACATGACAACCACCTGTGTAGACAGAACAGACAGATAAGTCAACCACCTGTGTGGAGAGAAGGGACACATCAACAATACATGACAACCACCTGTGTGGAGAGAATCGACACGTCAACAATACATGACAACCACCTGTGTGGAGAGAAGGGACACGTCAACAATACATGACAACCACCTGTGTGGAGAGAAGGGACACGTCAACAATACATGACAACCACCTGTGTGGAGAGAAGGGACACGTCAACAATACATGACAACCACCTGTGTGGAGAGAAGGGACACATCAACAATACATGACAACCACCTGTGTAGAGAGAAGGGACACGTCAACAATACATGACAAATACCTGCGTGGAGAGAAGGGACACATCAACAATACATGACGACCACCTGCGTGGAGAGAAGGGACACGTCAACAATACATGACAACCACTTGTGAAGACAGAACAGACAGATAAGTCAACAATACATGACGACCACCTGTGTGGAGAGAAGGGACACGTCAACAATAATGACGACCACTTGTGTAGACAAAACAGACAGATAAGTCAACAATACATGACGACCACTTGTGTAGACAGAACAGACAGATAAGTCAACAATACATGACAACCACTTGTGTAGACAGAACAGATAGATAAGTCAACAATACATGACAACCACTTGTGTAGACAGAACAGACAGATAAGTCAACAATACATGACGACCACCTGTGTGGAGAGAAGGGACACGTCAACAATACATGACAACCACCTGTGTGGAGAGAAGGGACACGTCAACAATACATGAAGACCACTTGTGTAGACAGAACAGACAGATAAGTCAACAATACATGACAACCACTTATGTAGACAGAACAGACAGATAAGTCAACAATACATGACGACCACTTGTGTAGACAGAACAGACAGAGAGGTCAACAATACATGACAACCACTTGTGTAGACAGAACGGACAGATAAGTCAACAATACATGACAACCACTTGTGTAGACAGAACAGACAGATAAGTCAACAATACATGACAACCACCTGTGTGGAGAGAAGGGACACGTCAACAATACATGACGACCACTTGTGTAGACAGAACAGACAGATAAGTCAACAATACATGACAACTACTTGTGTAGACGGAACAGACAGATAAGTCAACAATACATGACAACCACTTGTGTAGACAGAACAGACAGATAAGTCAACAATACATGACAACCACCTGTGTAGACAGAACAGACAGATAAGTCAACAATACATGACAACCACCTGTGTAGACAGAACAGACAGATAAGTCAACAATACATGACGACCACTTGTGTAGACAGAACAGACAGATAAGTCAACAATACATGATAACCACCTGCGTGGAGAGAAGGGACACGTCAACAATACATGACGACCACTTGTGTAGACAGAACAGACAGATAAGTCAACAATACATGATAACCACTTGTGTAGACAGAACAGACAGATAAGTCAACAATACATGATAACCACTTGTGTAGACAGAACAGACAGATAAGTCAACAATACATGACGACCACCTGCGTGGAGAGAAGGGACACGTCAACAATACATGATAACCACCTGTGTAGAGAGAAGAGACACATCAACAATACATGACAACCACCTGTGTAGACAGAACAGACAGATAAGTCAACCACCTGTGTGGAGAAAAGGGACACGTCAACAATACATGATAACCACCTGTGTGGACAGAATAGGTCAAAATACATGATAACCGCCTAAGTGGACAGAACAGAGGTCAACGATACATGAATAAAAAATTTTAAAATGGAATAAAAATCCAAGACTACACTTCTCTGATCTGTTTATTATGCTCTGTGAACATATAACGAGATTGAAGCCATGGTAGAATGGCAATGGGTACCAGGAAATGTTTCGGAGAGTAAAAGAAAGAGAAGGAAAGGATATAGAGAAGAAGGGCAAGCAGGCGAATGAGCGGGAGAATAAAAAAAAAAAGGATGAGGTGGAACAGGATGTGTTATTTTGTGTGCAGAGGAAGAGAGATATAAAACATATTTGCCCAAATGTTCTTTTCTGTAAAATCACAAACCCCAATGATAACCTGAAACAAAACATAAACCACAATAATGAAGGGGTGTGTAGAAGAAAGGCAAAAGTTAAACAACAATTTACGAATACATTAACAAGTATACTGACCTCATTAAAAAGCAGTTCTCTCCTCTGTTGTTTTCTCAGGTCCATTTTCTTCACGGCCACATACCTGCCACGAGACTGATCCTGGGCAGTGCACACAATGCCAGTCGAGCCCTCTCCAATTTTAACAAAATTCCTCAAAAACTGGCGAGGGTCACCAGGGTTCACAACGTACTGCAGAGTTCGACGGAACTGCATAAGGGCAGATTGGGGGAAGGAAAATGAATGAGTTAGAACTGACAAACATTCAGTAACTAAATACAAATATATAAACGTCACCATTATCTTGTAGCAACATTCAGTAACTAAATACTATATATAAACGTTACCATTATCTTGTAGCAGGTTTTCCACAGAGTGCTAGTCTCACGACAGAACAAGTACAAGACTTGACTGTTCACCAGTCAGTATGCTTGATGACCAAACTGTCTTCACTGTCTTGTCTCCATCTTTGTGTTGCTAGAACACTGCCTCGTCATCCAGGAACCGAACCTTCTAGTAAACTGTTCTCTCTGAATCACTTCAATATGACCAACATATTTCAGTTTCCAAGACAGAAGACTCTTTATAAGTCTGTTTTCTTCAATGTTCTGATCTCGAATATCAGTATTTTCTTTTCTTTCTCCATGGTATTCAAAAATATTTGTCTGAAATAATTAAGTAAAAAGTCCTGAATTTCACTTTAATTGAGTGTGGAATGGTAAATCATTCACACCTATATAGTACCCTACCCAGTATGAGGTGTGCATGTAATGACTGTCAACAACTCCTCTGAAAGTTTTCCTGGTGTGACATACTGAAGAAGAATTCAGATGCATACATAACGTGATAGATGCTTTGCAAAAGACAGCAACAGAGGCAGCACATCTGGTTTATCACGGAGAATTTGAAACATGCAAAGGACCACATTTATTTTATATTTCTCAGTAGTAATAATATCTCATCTCTGTGACATCTGTCGATCCCTTGCTGACAGTAAACAAACAGCCACAACCAATACTTGCTAATCAATCCCAAGACATTAAACAAACAGCTACAACCAATACTTGCTAATCAATCCCAAGACAGTAAACAAACAGCCACAACCAATACTTGCTAATCAATCCCAAGACAGTAAACAAACAGCCACAACCAATACTTGCTAATCAATCCCAAGACAGTAAACAAACAGCCACAACTAATACATGCTAATCAATCCCAAGACAGTAAACAAACAGCCACAACCAATACATGCTAATCAATCCCAAGACAGTAAACAAACAGCCACAATGAATACATGCTAATCAATTCCAAGACAGTAAACAAACAGCCACAACCAATACATGCTAATCAATCCCAAGACAGTAAACAAACAGCCACAACTAATACATGCTAATCAATCCCAAGACAGTGAACAAACAGCCACAACCAATACATGCTGATCGATCCAAAGACAGTAAACAATCAGAAACAACGAATACATGCTAATCAATCCCAAGACAGTAAACAAACAGCCGCAACCAATACATGCTAATCAATCCCAAGACAGTGAACAAACAGCCACAATGAATACATGCTTATCAATCCAAAGACAGTAAACAAACAGCCACAACCAATACATGCTAATCAATCCCAAGACAGTAAACAAACAGCCACAACTAATACATGCTAATCAATCCCAAGACAGTGAACAAACAGCCACAAAGAAGACATGCTAATTAATCCCAAGACAGTAAACAAACAGCCACAACCAATACATGCTAATCAATCCCAAGACAGTAAACAAACAGCCACAACCAATACATGCTAATCAATCCCAAGACAGTAAACAAACAGCCACAATGAATACATGCTAATCAATCCCAAGACAGTAAACAAACAGCCACAACCAATACATGCTAATCAATCCCAAGACAGTAAACAAACAGCCACAATGAATACATGCTAATCAATTCCAAGACAGTAAACAAACAGCCACAACCAATACATGCTAATCAATCCCAAGACAGTAAACAAACAGCCACAACCAATACATGCTAATCAATCCCAAGACAGTAAACAAACAGCCACAACCAATACATGCTAATCAATCCCAAGACAGTAAACAAAACAGCCACAACGAATACATGCTAATCAATCCCAAGACAGTAAACAAACAGCCACAACCAATACATGCTAATCAATCCCAAGACAGTAAACAAACAGCCACAATAAATACATGCTAATCAATTCCAAGACAGTAAACAAACAGCCACAACCAATACATGCTAATCAATCCCAAGACAGTAAACAAACAGCCACAATGAATACATGCTAATCAATTCCAAGACAGTAAACAAACAGCCACAACCAATACATGCTAATCAATCCCAAGACAGTAAACAAACAGCCACAACCAATACATGCTAATCAATCCCAAGACAGTAAACAAACAGCCACAACCAATACATGCTAATCAATCCAAGACAGTAAAACAAACAGCCACAACGAATACATGCTAATCAATCCCAAGACAGTAAACAAAACAGCCACAACCAATACATGCTAATCAATCCCAAGACAGTAAACAAACAGCCACAATGATACATGCTAATCAATTCCAAGACAGTAAACAAACAGCCACAACCAATACATGCTAATCAATCCCAAGACAGTAAACAAACAGCCACAACCAATACATGCTAATCAATCCCAAGACAGTAAACAAACAGCCACAACCAATACATGCTAATCAATCCCAAGACAGTAAACAAACAGCCACAACCAATACATGCTAATCAATCCCAAGACAGTAAACAAACAGCCACAATGAATACATGCTAATCAATTCCAAGACAGTAAAAAAAAAAGCCATAACCAATACATGCTAATCAATCCCAAGACAGTAAACAAACAGCCACAACCAATACATGCTAATCAACCCCAAGACAGTAAACAAACAGCCACAATGAATACATGCTAATCAATTCCAAGACAGTAAACAAACAGCCACAACCAATACATGCTAACAACATCTAAGCATCACAGATCATCTAAAAATCAAAACAAAACAAAGAAAGAACTGGATTACATCACAGAATTAATTTACAAAATTACAACTACAGTGAAGAAATAGGTGTGCAAACTGTAACTGAAATAAAAACAAGGATGTAGAATTAAACGAACTATGCCCCTAACCTTTTCAGAAAGATTTAGAGTGGCTCAGTGAAGTACCACTTATTTAATTTCATCCTGTTTTCTTATTTTTATTTCACACATCTGTATAAAGTATAACCTTAACACAGCTAGCCACTAAAGGGTCACTTCTGTCTCTGCACTGTGTTGTGCTTCTTATCACCGTACTGATAAAAGCTTGCTGCCACAATGTAGCTTTTTATACTGTCATATTGTGAAGCTGGTGTAAACAATGTTTAAACTTTATATTTTCTCAGCTTCACTGATTGATTGCTTTTTTATGCTCCGGAGAATGTATTCCATTTAATACTTCACTCTGTTAATGTTAATTGATTACCCTTGTTATTATATCTTCTTCTTCTTCAGCATTCCGAGACCTTGAGGTTCACTGTATCAGCATTTCATATATTTTGATCTTGGTGTTATGAGACAGACTTTGATTTAGCAGATGTTGTAGGGCAGTGTATACCCTGTTTCTAAATTACCTGGTACCCTGATAACATCAGATGGAAGGTGTACTGCCCTTGTATTTACACCACATGTAAAGGTCCCCTGACACGTCAGCGGCGCACTGGGCGTGTGAGGCCAGACACATATTTAAAGATCAACCGACCCTGGCGGGTGATGGGGTCAACTAACACATGAGCATTAGTTTAATCATCTACGCATGATCTCATTATGACCACATCAGACTATGTCTCTGATAAAACCTGCTGGCTAGATGCCCCATCATTTGCCAGTTGCCCAGCTTCAGGTACATGCGCTGTTATGTCCAGGCTGTCCTTACATCCTTATATCTATTAGAATGGATACAAGCAAGCATAACTGTTCTCAGCCATACAGACAAATATCTATTAGAATGGATACATGCAACCATGACTGTTCTCAGCCATAAAGACAAATATCTATTAGAATGGATACATGCAAGCATGACTGTTCTCAGCCATAGAGACAAATATCTATTAGAATGGATACATGCAACCATGACTGTTCTCAGCCATAGAGACAAATATCTATTAGAATGAATACATGCAACCATGACTGTTCTCAGCCATAGAGACAAATATCTATTAGAATGGATACATGCAACCATGACTGTTCTCAGCCATAGAGACAAATATCTATTAGAATGGATACATGCAACCATGACTGTTCTCAGCCATAAAGACAAATATCTATTAGAATGGATACATGCAATCATGACTGTTCTCAGCCATACAAATATCTATTAGAATGAATACATGCAACCATGACTGTTCTCAGCCATAGAGACAAATATCTATTAGAATGGATACATGCAACCATGACTGTTCTCAGCCATACAAATATCTACTAGAATGAATACATGCAACCATGACTGTTCTGAGCCATAGAGACAAATATCTATTAGAATGGATACATGCAACCATGACTGTTCTCAGCCATACAGACAAATATCTATTAGAATGAATACATGCAACGACGACTGTTCTCAGCCATACAGACAAATATCTATTAGAATGAATACATGCAACCACGACTGTTCTCAGTCATAAAGACAAATATCTATTAGAATGGATACATGCAACCATGACTGTTCTCAGCCATACAAATATCTATTAGAATGAATACATGCAACCATGACTGTTCTCAGCCATACAGACAAATATCTATTAGAATGGATACATGCAACCATGACTGTTCTCAGCCATAAAGACAAATATCTATTAGAATGGATACATGCAACCATGACTGTTCTCAGCCATACAAATATCTATTAGCCATAAAGACAAATATCTATTAGAATGGATACATGCAACCATGACTGTTCTCAGCCATACAGACAAATATCTATTAGAATGAATACATGCAACCATGACTGTTCTCAGCCATAAAGACAAATATCTATTAGAATGGATACATGCAACCATGACTGTTCTCAGCCATAAAGACAAATATCTATTAGAATGGATACATGCAACCACGACTGTTCTCAGTCATACAGACAAATATCTATTAGAATGGATACATGCAAGCATGACTGTTCTCAGCCATACAGA